GGATACGCCTCTGTGGTTAAGGCACAATATCAAAAAGACAGTAAAAAAACATCCCTAAGCAGGAGCTCGTGTGAGGTCCACGGGGAAAGAGGAAGAGAAAAAGACCAAATAAGTCCTGTGGAAATCGTTTGAAATAGAGAAGGGGGATGCTGGATTATTAGGGTTCGATCTTCATAAAAATTTCATAAAAAACGTTTTAATAACAAGCTTTTATGTACTAATGCACTAAAAAGTAGAAAATAAATTATAGACTACTATTTAAAAAACTAGAAAGTAGGGGGTCATCAATAATATGTCTGTGTGTGTGTATGTGTGTGTGTGTGTGTGTAAACATGATAACTTGAGTACCGTTACAGCTAGGTTGATGAAATTTCATGTATAAGTATTTTATCAAAATCGTAGATCCCTATCAACTTTTGAGCGATTTCCGATAACGGAAGTGGTACTTTTTCTACTTTGAATTTTTCAAAAGCCTATAACTTGAGTACTATTTCTCATAAATAAATGAAATTTCACATGTAAGTAAAAGATCTAATTCTCTACCTTCTGTTAAATTTTGAGTAATTTCCGTTGACCGGAAGTAGTAATTTACGCTACTTCCGATTTCTCAAAAAACTAATGTAAATTTTTAAAGTACTAATAATATTGCGCACTATTATGCACCTTTTTATTTAGCGTTCACTCGGTGTGCAATTCTTTTGTCTACGAGATTTTATTCTATTTTTAAAACTTTAAGTATTTAAAATGGATTAAAAATCATGTCTATAGCCCGAGTTCACATCCCCTGTTATTTTATATAAAAATATTCGAGAAAGTTTAGGGGAGATCACTCCCGGTTTATTTAAAACAGATATTTTTCCAAAATCTTGTCAGAACTCTATCAAGATAGAGTATTTTAATCAATTCCTATTACAATTTATTAAAACAGTTTTCTAAATCGCGAAATAACGTCTAAACTTCGTTTTCTAACATTGCTTTTTCAAAATGCAAAAGTGTGACTTCGCATCATCTGAATCCCCTTCTACCTCATCACACACCGTCACAAAATTACGGACCCCCCCTCCCCCTACGAGTTTGACGTTATTTACGGACGACCCCTAAGGCCTATGACATCCCCCCACCCCCACTTCGTTTCTTTATGTTAATTATATCCCATTTTAAACCTAAATAATTAGCCTTTGACATTTTTATCTGCCTGTTATAGCTAGTTCATTATGTGTGATCCCACGAGCACACTCTGGCCAGTTTCTTCCAGGCTCCTCCCCCCCCCCCCCCGAAGAAATTCTACCCCCCCCCCCCCACCGAACGAAATGGAATGTTGAGAGCGAACATCATCGTTGAAAAGGGACTGGTTAATGGTGCAATCGGCAACATTACAGAAATTCATTGGCCAAATTTCAGACGCAACCAGATTGATAAAGACATTCCCGACTTAAGCATTGACTTTGTGCCAGATGGAATCCATCGGATTGAGCCGAGATGCGTAGAATTTGATGGAAAACTGAATTATGGAAAAGTCGAGCGAAGACAACTGCCCATAATTCAATGCTGGGCCTGCACAGTGCATAAAATGCAAGGCTGCACAGTTGATCACGCAGTGGTCTATTTAGGACCAGCGCTTTTTGAAACGGGCCAGGCGTATATTGCGCTCAGTCGAGTACGATCACTCGAAGGCGTACGCATTGTGGAATTGGATTGCAGCAAGTTAACAGGAAAAAACCATTGCAATGAGGAATGTCTACAGGAGATGGAATGAATGCGTCGACACGAACCTCCAGCTGATCCTAAATAATAAGCATGTCATGCCTGGTATAAGTCCCTTTTATCTTTGTGTTCGTCCTTTGTGAGTGTTTGTCTTTGTTTACCCAAAAAAAAAGTGAATGTGAGAAGATAAAATCGACAGCAAGATTTGAATGCAAACAACCAGGCAAAGACTAAAAAGTAGAAAATAATTATCATTTAAAAAAATGAAAAACGTGGGGCGCCGTGATTTTCTTTTACTTTTACTTTTACTTCGGCGCCCCACGTTTTTCATTTTTTGTCATAATGCTCACGCAGTTTGCGATCGCTTATAGTAGAGTGATCGCTTGCATTACTGTGATGTATAGCATTTATTTTCTACTTTTTAGTTCAATCAGAAAACGTGGGTTTTTGTTTTAAATTTTTAATGATAATTATAGTTATATTGAGACTATCCGTCCCGCCCAGGCCCTGCACTGGCATCTCTGAAAAACGTATCTGTAAAGGACCATAACGTGTGTGATTACTAATCAGCATTTACCCGGCATTGCCCACCCTAACCACAACCAACATAAACACACACAAAAAAAAAAACGCAAACATCACACTAACACAAAACAAATACAAACGAAAACACAAAAACAAACGCAAAGACAAACCCAACCACAAACACAAAGAAAACAAAAACACTAACGCAAACAAAAAAGCAAACGAAAACAAATCAAAACGCAAACACAAAACCTTAACCCAACCACAACCAAACAAAACCAAAACACACCCAAACAAAAAAAAAAACAACGCAAACATTACACACACACAAATACAAACGAAAACACAAAAACAAACGCAAACACAAACACAACCACAAAGAAAACACAAATGCAAAGAAAAAAGCAAACGAAAACACAAACGCAAAGAAAAAGAGCAAACGAAAACAAACCCAAACCCAAACGCAAACACAACCACAAACGCAAACCCAAACTCAAACAAAAAAAAACACAAACGCAAATATAAACTCAAAGTGTCCACAGTCTAGCCCGGTGCGCCAAATCACACCATGACGACGTGCGGCGTAACCGCCCGATTCAACTTAGTAAACGACTATAGTACCTAACTTATTCATAGTCTTTTGAACTCACTTACGCGAACGTAGGTACCATAACGTACACGAGAAGGCCCGGGGCGCCAAATAGCACCCTGTCGGGGTGCCGAAGGACGCCCGGATTTGATTCACTTAAAGACTGTAGTAACATTTCTTATCCATAGTCTATCGCACTGTTTAAAACGAAATTATGCACCATAGCGCTCACATGAAAGCCCAGGGCGCCAAATCGAACAGTGCAGGGGCGCCGGCGGAGGCGCCTGTTTCAAATTAGTGAACAAAATTATAATACTCCAAGCTCATCCGTAAATGGAAAGAAATAAACATATAGGATGTGTAGGACCTGGCTTATTAAATGTTATCGATGTAAAAAATAATTAGTAAACAGTATGTTCAGTGTATAGAATAAATAAAAGGCCGTATTAAAAATACCAACGACATTGCACTTAATCAATCCCCGCTAATTATGTTATTTTTTTTTCTTAACACCAAAACAAAGTAATAAGAAGTAAATTCTTTCTTCCCCCGATTAAATGGTTCTTTAAAGGGAAGTAACTGTGTTTTCCAAATCAAGGGACGTTATGAGAACTAAAGGACAAAATGCAAATACATTTCAGACACAATTTTAGAAATTTTATAAACGTTGATACACTTAATTTAAATTTTTTGTAATGTTCATAATTGAAAATTATTATTCTAATGATATAAAATGAAAATTGTTTCAATAGTAATTTTTTAACTCATAAATTTAGACCATGAGCACTATAATAATAATCTAACACTTAAATCCATTGAAGTATCAACGACAAACATTTTACATACAGAATTGAACTTTATATATTTGATTAAAGAATGTAAATAAATAGTACACACAATTCCGTAGAATAGGAACGATTGGGAGGGAAGTGACATATAGCGCAGGAAATTTAGAGGTTAGGGAGGGTATAATAAATGGTGGGGTTAGGAAAGTTAGGGGGTCCATTCTCTAATAGGCAGACTATCTCTCTTTCGTACTTTCGTGTTGGTTTATTGTCGACCCTGTCCTCACCTCACATCAGTTAGATGACGCTTACCGTGTAATGTTAAAATAAATAGCATGTAATTGAGTTAGTTCGAAGTGAGTTTTCATACAAGCCCAACGCACTAATTAATGTTGTCGCAAAATGTAACATATGTGTAACATATGTCAATGATGTCAATGAATATTCATTTTTAAAAAATATGTCTAGTGCAGTTTACGTAGCTAACGAACTTTGCCGATACTTTTTAGGTGGGTAGGTGGGAACTGCAGGGGCGGATTAAGCTTCTGCGGGGCCCCTGGCTGAAACTTTTTCCGGGGCCCCCTAAACTATATATATATATATATATATATATATATATATATATATATATATATATATATATATATATATGTAACTAGTGTAGTTACTATAGACGATAAGAACGCAATACAGTCGGTCAACTAAAGTCACGATCAAGGCCAAACTGGGCTGATGCAACTGATACAGGGGGTGTGGACTGATAACGAACACAAAGCCATTGCGTAGTTTGGGAAGCGATACGACAGAACTGCGTAGTTCATAGTCTGATGCAACGAATGGAAAGGATTACGAATACGAGGGATATAATAAGACGGCGTATTGGAGAAGGGCAGAACAGAGTTGAAGACTGAACTGTGGAGACGTGTTGTGATTTGGGAGAATAGGAACGATGGACACGTGCATTCTGATATGTGAGGACTAGTGAGGACAGTGGGGGTCAGTTGGTTCATTGTATTCTTGTGGAACATTGATGCATTGTTATGTGGAGCATTTCTATTGATTCATGTAATAAAGAGATCAATGTAAACCTGCACTTCCGAGTATCTGTATTGTGGTCGATGTTGTGTGCTGGTCAAAGATAGCACGAGTAAATACATTCGGTAACATTTGGCACTACAAGTGAATAGACTCGGTAACATATAGTTTATATAATGACATCACAAAATAGAGGCCTTTCCAAAAATGAATGTTGAATGGAATAAGCTAAATGTTAACAGAAGCCATGGCATAGACAAAAAATGTTACATTAAATGTAATGTTAAATTACATTGAGACTTAAGAGCATTTAAAGTGACAATTATTTATTTACTAATGCAAAAGAAATTATGAATACTTACATTTATTACAGTTCTTTTTATTTAGAACTAAAGACCAAGTAACTTTTATAGGGAACGTTTTCGAGCTTTCCTGATAGCAAAATCTTCTATTAGTTCTGTATAATTCAGTGAGCTTACAATGTCATTTTCTATGCTCATAAGTGAGAGCATACTAAGTCTCAGCTGTCCCATTGTGCTTCTAAGATCGCTTTTAATCTTTTTCATTTTGGAAAATGAGCGCTCTCCACTGCAGTTAGACGTCATCATACACAGATAAATTCGAAGCTAGCGAATTCATTACGTTGACTTTCAATAAAAAGGAGAACAGATTTTAACAAATTAACTGCTGTATTAAGAGATAAACCTTTTTCTTGAAGAGATAAATTTGTTTTTTTGCAATCTCTCTAAAATTGTATCCCATACCTCCAATAATATTACTGTTTCTAGTTTTTGTAAACTTTTAAGATATCCGTCAGCTTCAGCTCTACATTTAAGAGGTTGAATTTCATCGGCTGCTAACTCCTCCAAAGCCGATATATTTCCCTTATACCCTCTATTTAAAGCCTTAACAGCATCATGTCGAGCAGACCATCTGGTTTCCGACAAAGCTTTAGCAACAGGCAATCCATTCATGTGCTTGTTGTGTATATGCCAACGATGGGTAGATGCAGAAAGCCAAGAGTAAAGGTTCTGAAGGAGATTAAAAATCCAACTGACGTGGGGCAGCACTCAGCTGCACAGCTCCCAACTAAATTGAGTGAATGTGCTGTGCACGGTACATACAATGCTACGTCACACTTCTCCCGGATTTTAGCCTGAACACCGTTATACTTGCCGCTCATGTTGGTCGCGTTGTCATATGATTGACCGCGACAATTTTTAATGTCAATTCAATTTTCTTCCAAAAATGTTAGTATTAAATTAGCTATTTCCGAACCAGTGTGTGAAAACATTGGTACAAATTTTAAGAAGCGCTCAATAGGTCCGGTGTCTTGTACATAGCGAATAACGATTGTGAGTTGATCAACATGTGAAACATCTGGAGTCGAATCTACAGATATAGAAAAATATTTCGCTGTCTTTATTTCATCTACAATTACAGACAAAACCTATTGATCCATAAGTTCAATCATCTCCTCACATATTGTTGAAGATATGTAGGATGTATTTCCACGTCCTTTGTTGGCGTGTATCCGCATATGTTCTGCGAGAAAGGTATCGTACTGACTTAACAGCTCCAGCAACCCGAGATAATTCCCATTGTTTGGAGAGCCAACCTCTTCAGTTCTGCCCCGGAACGGAAGACCACGAATACAAAGAAACTTATCACACTAACGATTCTGTGAAGTACTTGTCTCCAGTACTGAATTTCACTTTTATATTGCGTTACAAGTTTCATGTCAATCTGACCAGTAGATTTTCGTGAACACAGCGCTGCCTATGAATCAATATGTTGTTTGGAATTTTCATGCCTAGAGAGCACTTCATGGGCACTTTTCCATTGTTTGAACCCTGATGTCAGTTTCTTAGTTATAGGTGACATCAGCTTACATACAAAACAATAAACACACCCGCTTGTTTTGGAATAACACAACCAATTTCTTTCAAAGTTTTCTCCTGTTCGTGCATGGACACGTGTGAATAAAGAAATGGTGCAGAACCGACGTTGTGACTCTCTTTCTAACTGTATGACCGATTCTTTAGAGTTCCCGTTTTTGTTTTGACATGGTGTGGTACCACGTTGAATCCAATAGTTTCTAAATACCTCTGACATCTTTTCCCGCTCTGGCCAAAAATGAAGGTCGTATATAGCATGACTATCTTCAAGGGGTTTAGCTGTATCATCTTTCAAATCACATTGTTTTGAGCCTGCTCTACATCTTTTACCCCGGCGGTGTCTGATTCAATTGCAGATCCCTTTTCTACGTGACTATCTTCCTTGGTACTCGAAGTTGGTTTGAAAAAGGAGAGCAGTTTTGTAGTTTTTTCAGCAAGCTCAGCTTCGATCTTTCTTTTTTTTTTCACCGATAATGCGCGTTTTTTTTCTCCACTAGGATAGTTACGAGACATATTCAATAGAATTTTAAAACAAACAAGGCTGAATCTAATTAAAAGTCCGGCTCTTTGCTGAAATTGCAAATTGTCGTTTTTTTCTCCAGCAAGCAATTTTTTGACATATAGGCCTGATGAACGAGCCTTTAGGATTACTTTGTCTATCTGAAAAGTCTGAAGCCTGGATAATGGTGGAGGCTTGGAAATCAATAAAAATTTTGAACTCTTGAGTAGACTCCGTGCGATTAAATCCAAAAGAATGACTGACTCAACAAATGTAATTCCGAATGGGATTTCGGGGAGGAAGATATAGTTTGGGGACATGCCGGAAGTGGGGGGGGGGGGGCTATATGCCAAGCTCAACAAAAGAGGTTCCAGTTTCCATTACCCTAACGGGTCGGACAGAGTTCACAGTTTAATTAAATTGAAAAAATACTTAAAGGTCAAAGTTCGCCATTGTTTATTGTTACAACTGAGGCCACGGTTGATGTTAGGCCTAGTGAGTTACCCCCCCCCCTTCTCCATCTCAACTTGAACAATGCTGTATTTTATAGGAAGACATTAGTGTCAGACCTAGCACACCTAGTTGTTATGTGCAGGGAAGAGAACTACGGTCGCCTGGAGATTATTTTACCTGAGGTGGATGGCGATGGGTCGATTAAGTGAGCCCCCCCCCCTCCCTCCGCCTCCACACCCTTGTACCTGGTATGTAAATGTGGGGGGGAAAAAAGTAATGTGCTACCCTATTGTATTCTGACCAATGTAGATTTTTTTAAATTTTTTTTTTATGCCTGTACTAGTTAAAATTCGGTGGTAAATTTGGGGGCCCCTAAAAATCGGGGGCCCCTAGCTGCAGCCCTTTCAGCACCCCCCTTAATCCGCCACTGGGTAACTGGGTAGGTGAGTAAGTGGGTAGGTGGGTAAGTGTGTAGGTGTGTATGTGGGTAGGTGGGTAGGTCATCCTACGTTTGACGCATGCGAACTCATCTGAAAATTCAGAACATGTCCTGTTTTCGCCCAGGGAGCGAAGAAAAAAACTTGACCCAGAACATAAAAAGGGGCGTGGTTTTGTGCTCCGCGACTCAGAAGATGTTCCATATACCCGTAACATGTTTAGTATACACTTTAGTAGGTCAAGTCTAGTATACATGTTATAAGTGTAAACGCGGTGTAATAGGGATAGGTGGGCGTATTGTCGTGAAATATATCTAGATCTAGATTAGTTTCTACAATCTATATTTTTTCTTCGGGAAACGGTGTCGTCTGGTTTATACTAAAAAAATTAAAATATTTAGAATCTAGTTTAGATCTAGATCGACATCTACATGTGAATGTCATGAATGTGTAAAAGTAATGGGAAGCAAACCTATAGTCATAGATCTAGTTAGATCTAACTAGATCTAGATCTACATAATAATAATATTAATAATATTCCCACGAAAAATAAAGATCAAGATCTAGATTCTAGAGAATAACTTAGGGCCTAATTAATAATTGAATAAGATAACCGCCTTCTCGAACATCGTCATCAAAACATAGATCTAGTAACATAGTAACACAGATAATTGATATCTAGATCTAGAGTCTAATTAATTGTAAGGTAATCTATCGTTTTAGGGTAATAGATCTAGATCTAGATTCTAGATCTATATCGTTTTGGGTACGTAAAATCGCCCGCGGCTATTAATGTACGAAAACGTTACCTCATTGTCAAGGCTTTAATAGAAGTGTATTGTGGTATGTTTGTGTCAAATATTATAGATAAATGAATAATAAACCTAAATCAATTGCTAAATATATAAATATAGGCTTAACTATAAAATAACTATAAATAATTAAATAGCAGTGTTTGCGAGCAAGATTTGCTATAGATCTATAATATTCTATAAACAGCAGCCATCAGTAAAATAGAGTGGCTTCCCCTGAATCTCTGAAACAAGATGGCTGTTTAAGTAAATGAGCTTGGTTGCATCTGATAAAAACATCGCTAATCGTTATTTATTACTGAAAAGTTTTAATACAATTGTTTTAAAAACAGGTACACGAATGAAGGATTGAAACATTTCTGTTACTTTTGCAACATAAATCTTTCTAAAAGTGTGAAATAATTACAAAAATTTGATGAGTCACCCGTTTTTTCACATTACTAATACTACTAATACCTAATAGTAGGCTTACTCTAAGAGACTAATATAAATACTGACTAATACTAGCCTCGGCCGATTTTACGTACCAAAAAGGATAGATTACCTCTTAACTCACTGTTTAAGTAATTGGGTATTGATAATAAAAATATAGAATATAATCTAGATCTATATTAGACTTAGATCTAGATTCTAGTAGTTAGATCTAGTAATCTATTGTTTTAGGTCTGCAAAATAGGCCTAGACTACTCCCCTAGACTAGTAACGTGAAAGAAAGGTGACTCACATCAATTATCATACATTACAATCATAATTCATATAGGCCTACTAGATCTACATACATTTTTGAATGATGTCCATTGATATGGCTTTAACTTTAGGCCTAATTAATAAATTACTAAATAACTAGGGCCTAGGCCTAGGCCTAATTAGTTTAATTATTAATTATAAGTTTAATAGTTAAGACTAATAACTAATCGATCTATAGGGCCCTATAGTCTATAGATCTAGATCTATTATAGAGTCTAATAGATATAATTTTCAATTGAATAATATATCAAAAGCAACGTTTTAGAATCTAGATCTGCTGATCTAGTCTAGATTAATTAGATATCAGCATTAGCCAGAAATTAACTTTAAACAGCAGTGTTTAAGAGCAAGATTGGCTTAAAATAAACAGCGGCTATCTGTAAATGGTGGGTGTGGGGAAATTGCGAGACGCGAAAAGCGAAATGGCGAGGCGGGGAAAATGCAAGAAGGGCGCGAAAACGGTCGGTCACGTGACTTTTTGTCTCGCATTTTACCACAACCCGATACTTACGCTAGATGGTGTTGAAATGCGAAGATTTCTGCGAAAAATTTACCGCACCCGATTTTCAGTGGTATTTGGTACAGACTTCAAACACGTTTTCTTTACATTGTTAAAACTTTCAATTTTTCCGTTGCTAGACATACTGATGATTTGTGAACTCCCCCCCATCTTTTGTGTCGACTTAGAATACCACCTTGTTCGAAACCAACGGAAATACCGCAGACGATAGATCAACTTCTTTCTTTTGTGTGGAACGCCGAAGCCGCCTGATTTACCGTCTTTGAAGATCGCCGTGCCGCCACAAACATATTTTGTATTGTTGCATAGAAATGTGAGACGTCACACTATAAAAAAGCAATGTTAGAAAAATAATTTTAGACGTTATTTCGCGTTTTAGAAAACTGTTTTAATAAATTGTAATAGGAATTGATTAAAATACTCTATTTTGACAGAAATTAGACAAGATTTTGGGAAAATATCGATGTTTTTAAAAAAATCAACTGCAATTTTGAGGGGGGTTGTAGGCTGAGGTGAGACGTCATTTTAGTGGGGGGGGGGGGGGGGGTCTGGATTTTTTTGAAAATGTGTGGGAGAGGGGGGGGGGTAAAAATCGTCATTTATAGATGACCCCTTTTAGCTATTAAATGGTAGGTTTGTCGATAGCGGACTTTATTCAGATTATCTACAGCCGCACATTTTTTTCCATTATGTTCATATTTGTGTTCTGTGTTAGGACTTAATCCTCATCACTCCCTGTGGAGTATAGGGCAGCAACAAATCTCCGCCATTCCACCCTGTCCTGGGCGAGCCACTTTAGTTCATGCCAGGTTTTGCCAGTAGCCTGTACTTCTTCTTCCATCTCCCTCCTCCATGTTCCCAGTGGTCTTCCTCTATTTCTCTTTCCGGGTGGGTTCCACTTCAGCGCCATGTTGGGGAGTCTTTTTTTGCTCATGCGTAGGACATGGCCCAGCCATCTCCATCTCCTCGTTCGAACTTCTGAGACAATGTCGTTTAATCCTGTCCTTCGCCATATTTCCTTGTTCGGGACTTTGTCGTCCCACTTTATCCTGAAGATGCGTTGGAGGGATCTTCTTTCAAAGCCTCTGAGTCGGCTCTCTCCTTTCTTGTTTAGTTTCCATGACTCTGCAGCATAGAGGAGTACAGAACGTACATTTGACTTATAGATCCTTATTTTAGTTCTCTGCTGCAGTGAGGATGATTTCCAGATCTTAGCGAGTCTGTTGAAAGCTTGTGCTGCCATTGCTATTCTGGTGGCAATTTCTTTCTCCATGCTGCCATTTGCTGATATATAGCTGCCGAGGTACTTAAAGTCTTCGACCTCTTCTAGCTCTACTCCATTCTGTGTTAGCACAGTATAAATGGGAGTCTAATGAACTGGGTTGGATGTACTATGTGTGAAAGATATTGTGACGAGGTGTGTTTGATTAATGCTTGGACTGTTTCAGAAGATTTTGTTTGTAATTAAAATTACTTAATAAAAAATAAATTACACTTTTTAGAATTGTTTATACTTTTACACTTTTTGCAAGTACAACAATCCATGAATAGATGTTGCAGAATATCTCTCCTGCTGACAAGATTATACCAATTCACAATGACACAGCTCACGTTTGTATAAACATGAGCGGGCTAGATTTTAAAAATTAATGCAGACTGAGAAGGGATTTACCTCTCGCTAACGACAGCGGGCGATGACAGTAGCACAGCAACGATGTTAGTATTTTTTAATAGATCTAGATCTATCTATCTTCTTAGTATCTATCTATATATATATATATATATATATATATATATATATATATATATATATATATATATATATATATATAATAAAATCTAGATAAAAAATAACAACATACAACACTCGTGTTAAAGGGTATGGCTACATGCTAGTTAATTTTAAAACATAAAAAAAAATTATTTAAATAAATACAGATGAAAAAAGCATGAAAAAAACTTTTTTTCGCAAAAAGTGTCTCGCTATTTACCCTTGATTCCGCAGGTATGTCTTGCATTATCTTCTCGCATTTTCCCGCCTCGCCATTTCGCTTTCCGCGTCTCGCAATTTCCCAACACCCGTAAATGGTGGTTCCCCTGATCTCAAACAATAGGCCCTAAGTTAACAAAAAATAAACTTAGTTTAACTTTGGCTAAACAAGATGGCTGCTAAAAAAAACTAGCTCGGTTGCATCAGATGAAAACATGGCTTATCTTTATTTATTACTGAAAATTTTGAATGAAATTGTTTAAATACAGGTACATAAAACATCTTCAAAATATAAATCCTCCTAAAATGTGAAATAATTTCGTAATTGTAATGAGTCACCTTTCTTTCACATTACTAGATTTCTACTTATAACTAATAACTATTACTGTATCATATATTATATAGTATGAAAACTAGTTGCATTTTTTCTTAAAAACTGTGACTGGAGAAACCATACATGTGTCTGAATACTATTGGTTTCTTAGAGTTAAAATATTAATACGCTCACAATTCTATTTATGTTTTGGAAAAAAGAGCACCTCCACATCCTAGAAAAAAATTTGTGAGCTGATTGTGCTGGTCACTGTTTCTTAAGGGTATTTGTTTTACTGTTATACAATCCTACATATGTTAATATAAATACAATTATTTTTTAAAAGTTTTAAACTGTCTAAAATCTTAAATTTTTGTGGACATCATTAATAGATGACTCCTGAGTACTAAGGCCTCCTCGGATTCATTGAAATTAATTCTGTTCACTTAACTGCTCACTCATTAAAGAGTTAGGCCTAATAATTAAATGTATTAGGGATTGTCCATAAATGACGTCATGCTCCAAAGTTTCAGCCGACTTTTGTGAGGAGGAAGAGGTTTTCTGAAACTGATGACACACTTTTGCAATTATGTTATAAACTAAATTTTAGCCATAATGTCATGTTTGGTATTTTTAAATTTTTATAAGAATTGATCAACTTACTCTTTGTTGACCAATCTCTATAACTATCATACTATGTTAAGAAAAGAATTGCATTTTTTTTTTAAATAAAAAAATTGCAAATTTTGAGAGGGATGATTGACTTAGATATGATGTCATTTAAGGTGTTCTGTTCTGGCTTTTGTTGATGACATGTAATGTTGGAAGAGGGTGGTAAAAATCTTGAAAACTATTAATGCCTTATATTGAATGAATAATTACAGTTTATGAATATTATGATTTATTTACATTTATGATTTATTTACATGGGTGACCCGTCAAAAGAGTGCAGACAAAAGAGCGCCGACATAAGAGCGCACTAATTTGCCGACAAAAGAGCGCCAACATAAGAGCGCAAACTTAAAGATCGAAAAATAGTATTAAATAAATAGGAACAAGAAAATTAATTCAGATCAGAAGGCATCGTTTGATGTTAACTCTTAATTGTTTCATTAAAAAACAAATTGTTCAGTTTCTTCAGCTAAAAAACTGGTATAATCAATTGAACGTTTGCGGGCATCTTAACTATAATAGATGTAATAACACATACAAAGATTTTAAATGTTAGGCCTAAAGTGAGAATATAAACTGAAATGAAATGTAACATAAAATACTTAAAAAATTAAAAAAAAAAAACCACGTTTTTCTTGTGGACTAAAAAGTAGAAAATAAATTTTCATACATTTGATGACAAAAAACGTGGGTACATTCACCATCAAAGTTCCCGACCCATCTGCCCGAACCTGGGTTGTCGCGGCCACAACGCGAAGTACTAACCACTATACGATCACGGCCAGCGCGCTCACATCGATTGGGGCCGAAGTAACTGTGTCAATAGGCCTCCAGTCTTGTCTGTATCTTTATAAATCATGTCCTCAATTTTATGGTCCTTGGGGCGTAATTAAATTAAGCTAATTACGGTCTCTAATTGCTAGTTTTTATGATTGCATCTGAAATTGTTAGGCGAAAGTAGCCTACATGCCAAATTTCAGATCTCTAGAGCAATCAGAAGTGGGCTAATTTTCGATGTCAATTTTAACAACAAACATCCAAACAAACAAACGCGAAGCTGAGTTAAGAAAAACGTGTTAAAAAGGAAAATAAGTTCAAATTGAAAAAATGTTTCTTTATAGTTGCATTTATATTGCTAAGTTGTGGTAGTCCATCATTGAATCATTAGCATAGGTTGAAGCAATCGCCTGCAATCTTCGGTTCAGCTGAACATATTTGTTCTTTGAAGCTTCTGGTTGGTTAACTCCAGTTAGAATAGTTAGATGGTGTTCCAGTTCCAGGTGCTGTAGACGATTGATATTATCCATTGTTCCGAACATCATCATTCTGTAAACGTCAGTCGGTACGGAATCCCTAAAGACAAAATTTTGCCATCTTGTTGTCATTTGAAGAGGTTCAGGAATTGTTATTTCTGCAACGTTCTGTGGATTTGGGTATGGCAGCTGCTTGCGTTTTCTCTGTCTTTCTATTGCACATTGTGAAGCGACTTATGCCGGCAAATGAGGGGCTGCTTCCATCGTAATTCCTGCTCTGGCTTGTTATATAATCTGCCTTGGTTATTCCACCCCTTCCACTGCCCGTTTTCGTATAGCTGAAACAACTTTCGCTGCTTCGTTTTTAGCCGGATCAGGAGCGTGGTTGTGTTCCAATGATGACAGAACAATATTGTTCAGCAATAGGGCTGGTAAGTAGGTCACCAACCAGTTCTACGGCTCAAAACCTGCATGCGCCATAGAACTGGTTGGTGACCTACTTACCAGCCCTATTGCATTCGTCCTCTGCAGCCATCTTTCTTGCAGCATCTCCATGTCATACTTCCATCAACATTTGCTCTGTACTTTCGATATCTGTAGCTTTCGACCAATATAATAACCTTCCCTTTCTGTGATTCGATCTTCTTCTCCATGTTACTATGGTTAGAAATATTTTCAAACTGCATTCTTAACATATTAAACAATATATAAATAAACACATGTCATTTTATCATACCGCCAATTTTTAATTAAAACAATTGTTAACCATAACATATTCGTTGAGCGTACAACATCGTGTATTTTTAATTGACTGCACTCTTATGTCGGCGCTCTTTTGTCGGGGTGCCATTTACATGTTGAGCACTGCTGTCTTAATTTTACTATTTAGTTGAGTATGGGTATGAGTTTAATGTTTGTTTTAAAATGTAAGATCAATGATATTAAATTTAAAAAGTGGCCTTGAAAAAGTCATGTGGTTTATTACAAAGTTATATTTTAATAGCATTTTTTAATGGACTTAATAAAGTTTTAATTCACTACAGTAATATTAAACTGATTGTTTGGTTTGCTTTTAAATACAGTGGCAAATAATGAAATATTTGCTGTACTAAATTTAATTTCCCTGTTAATCTTGGTAGGGTGGTGAGTGGTTGTGTGGTTCCTAAAGTATTATTTCTTTAAACATGGCATCATTTAATTTTGTGGTTCTTACATAATTTGTGGTTCTGCATATGTATATAACAATTTATTCACTTGAATAGCAAAACCTGTAGTTAAGCCAGAACCTTGAGGTTTGACTATTCAGTATTTACACATTCTTTGAATTTTAATTGTGAAAAAATGTTCCATGTACTTTAATGTATTGTTTATTAAATTTACTTTTCAGACAAAAGTTTAAAAAATTTTGATGATTAATAACTACTTTCAAGAAGGTATTTGGAACCACAATTTAAAAAAACAATGCGATTTAATTCAAAGGAGTTGGCTCTTCTAGTACAGCAGACCAATCATTATGACAAAGAAGGATTTCTTTTAATGAAGGACAAACAAGATGGATTCTTTAAAAAATCAGAAGGTTTTTATCTCCCAGAAAATTATTTGTCTGTTGAAGAGAAGTAACAGTTACTTTAAAAAAATCTATTCTGCTTAACTGGTGTACCATCAGAACAGCCCTATCCCCTGTCCATACAGCATATTCAAAATGACTACAATGTGACCCCCAGCAAAATGACCCCATCAAAATAGCCCTGACAAAAAGGCCTGACTAATGGGCTACAGACATATCTTCTGATACATAAGTTTCCCTTTCAAATAGGTATTCTAAATGAGCCGAAAAAAACGTACTGCGCGCAAAAAAATTTGGTCGGGTTGCGCCAACGCTCGGAGATCCGATACCATAATACATACGATTACACTAAAAACTAATATAGAAAGTAGAATGGACGCCCTTTAAGATGATATGACTTTGCCCGCTGTAAAATATAATTTAATGCTAAAAATAATAGATTTAAAAGTTTCAAATGATTTTTTTACACGAAAAAAATATTTTACAGCCGGCAAAATTATATATTCAGATCGGGCGTCCAATTTACTATAAAAATGTTATAATTTAATTAACACTTAATGTATGGTATCGGATCGCAGAAATAAAAACGAACGCATACGTATCGTGATGACCCGCGCTAACTTTTGCCGGCTTAAATCTAGTTTTGCGTAATGTCACGGAACACCCGGCTCAAGTTCAAAGCAGGATTTTGTGTTTATTCGCGGATTACCATGGATTTTAAACAATGTCTAGGTAAGTTAAGTGCTTTATAAATTATTAGCTATATTCATTTTATTTATAATAAGCTGCTGCTTTAAACCATTTGCATTTTAGTGTCCACTTATCGGTAATTATTGCTACACGCTTAAAAAAACATTTACCAAAAAATTATCTAGATCTAGACCTTTTTAAAAGTTCTTTGTATTTAATTTACGATTACCAAAATAAAAAAGGAATGCACAATTAAATCAAAAAGATGTTTAAAAGAGTGATAGAATTTAATTTGTATTCGTGAATTTTATTAATTACTAACATTGACCGATTAAACTATCAATATATTGTCGATATTTCAAGCCGCTTGTCGGCCATTTTTTTTTTTTGCCTTCTCGTAATGTTGGATTCAACTATTATATTACGCAGGGTTAACAGCATACTTTCAATTTATTGTAGCATTGTTTATTTTGTTTTTCCTAGTTTAATAGTTAACTATTCTATATAATTGCAGTAATTACATTAAATTTTAGAATACTACGATCGTTAATGTTTCTTATCTCTAGGTTTATTGAACTGACGACATTAAAATAAAATGTAGCCCCCCTTCCATAATAGTTTAACCCAAAATTGTTTCCAGATCTAGATGATCTAGATCTACTTAGATTAGTTAGATTCACTATTGCTTTCATGTTAATATTTAGTAGTAGAACTATCTAAAGTGTTTACATTTAATATCTAAAAAAAGCATTGAGCAGCCTTACTTTTAATTTTATTCTATTTACAGAGCAAGATATTAGCAAAAGAAAGGGGAAACTGAAAGGCCTGTCAAAAATGTGTATTGTTTGTGTAAGCACCAACAGGACTACTGAATACTTTTGAAGGAAACCATATGTCAGATGTTAGTATTTTCTTCACTTTGCTTATTAGTTATAATGATGTAATGTTACATGATTGATATCTAAGTAGGTATAAAGATATACAGACCTACTATATAAGTCAGTATATTGGAAATGCTAATTAATTGTTTTTATTCACAGACATTTTCTATACTCTGGACCAATGGAAGGATCCCTTACTAGTTTCCATAATTTGATGTGTGCTGCCAGTTCACAATCATTTATTACAATGCTACTCCAAACCTTGAAGAAGAAGACAAACTCAACCAAGATATTGACTATTAATTACAATGCTACCCAACCTCATAGAGAACTTTCCCAATCAGGATATTGACCTGTCTTTTTGAACCTGCTCTAAGATTTCTGATAATTGTATAAGTTAGGACCTAGACATTTCCAGATCAATTTCCATTGATCAATAACTAACTAGAAGAAATAAATTTACTGATAACAAGTAAATTTAGGCTAAGCATGTCATGATTAGGGAGCAGAGTAACAAAACTAGATGAACATCACAAAGCTAACAGTTAGGATCATTTATAAAGAATTTTAGTTTAATTAGTTATCTTACTTCATCAGTGTTTAAAAGGCATGAAATTTCTTCTTAGTAAGTATATAAGTAAAGTAATAGTATAGTTATTTAATTTTTTATAACAAAGTAATGCTAACATGTTTCCTACACAATTTATATTACTTTCTTAAAAGTAAGGACACTTTTTGCAAGATGTTAGGTAATGAAAATTCTTGATTTTGGGCGTTAAGGAAGGATGCCATATATTGTTTTGCAGAATGATTATTTTATGTTTCTGTGTTTATTATATATTAAGAACATCATGTGCTTTAAGATGGTGTAAAATTTATTAAGATACCTTACTTTAATATTTTTTAATCATTTTTTGAAAAAGGGTGAAATTTCTATTTTTTATAAACTGACCTTTCAGAATCTGGTCTCGCTAATTACTTTCTTTATTAATTCTTTACCTGCTTATTTCATATTAACATGCTTTGAATTTCCTTTCTTAGAACATTTATATTAACAATGTGGCTTAATTAGTTTATTTTATATGATTTTTTAAAAATGACTGTAAATTGACTTTTTGTCTCCCTTTTTGTACTTTGGTAAAATTGTGCTTTGGCTCATTTTTAAGTGAATAAATTTTCCATTTATATCTGTCTGACAGCGTTGAAAAAAATTGGGTTTGCTATTTGTATTACTGGCTGTGTGTGCAAGAAATTTGAGAGTTCTAACTTAGTTATTTTAGAAGTTAGTAGGGGTCTCAAATAGACCCTTTACTGCTCGAAAAGCGAACACATTTTTCGAGTTTTAAAAAATTCATAACTTTTTTAAAAATGGACATACATCAATAAATTTGGTGTTTCTGTTCTGATGAAAGCAATCCCTATCAGGTGGAAGTGTTAAATTTTATTTAATTTCATTATGAAAATTTCATTTAGAATACCTATTTCAAACCTGACAGTCTATGGTTCAAGTGAAGTAGAGTTCACTTGTTTCTGTGACCTCGGCATATGAAGAGATAGTGTGGTCAGCACTATGCCCAGCCGCCTTTACTTTCCTAACGTGAGTTAGGTACCCATCAGAGTTGGGTGGACTCAGGGACGGTCTACTGACTTGAATCCGGATTCGAGCTCGAGACTTATGGTTTAGCAGTCCAGCTCTCTACTGTTAGACCACTCTGCCCTTAATAGCCGTCATATTGTAAACATTCAGGGTGAACCACAGCTCACCAGACTGGTGAGGTGGGGTGGTAGCGATACGCCTAAAGAGCGGGGTAGGAACGGCTAAGCCCTTACTTGGTGGTGTCAATTTGTCCGAAACCTATTAGACCGGGTCCGTTTGTCACTGGCCTTTTGGGGTGGGGTGGGGGGGGGGGGGGGTTTGGTCAATTTTAATGTGCTGTTTTGTCACAGGCGATATGACGCCGCACGGCTTAATTTAACTTTCAGGTTTACATTTAATAGGGCATGAACGATATTAGTTGTCCACAGCATAATTTAGAAATGTCTACCTTATATCTAAGTGACGTTTTTTTATCTTATCACTTTTTAGATCCTTTTATTATTATAAATAAAGTAATATTTAAGAAATATTTACAATTTGGTTTTCATTTAAAAAACTTTTGCAGCATACATAAATCGCTATGTCAAGCTTAAAGGCAACTTACTATTTTACTTCAAGAACAAAGATAATGTAAGTATAATTCAATAGTTAACATATTAGCAAATATCACAATAGATTCTAAAGATTATTAAACATAGTATATATCTATAAAATATTAACTTCTAATTTCCTAGCTTACTGTAATTTTTATAGTAAAATTATAGTTGTTGGTATTACATAATATTATCTCATTTATGGATTGAAAACTTCCACCAAGATGATTTGTCAACCGATTTTTACCCCAACCATTTTCAACTCATGCTCCTTTTTGTGCCATTCAAAGTATTTCTGTACAAATACCTGTATATTTATGCAGAATTGAATAGCTTTTAGTTGGCTCATCAGCTTTTCTTGTTTGTGTCTAAGACACATGGGGCAGATAAAGTAGACTCCATCTGTTTCAGAGACCTCAACAAATGAAGGGATAGTGTGGTTAGCACTATGCCCAGCCACTTTTGTTTTCTCCTATCATTAGTTAGGTACCTATCAAAGCTGGGTGGACTTAAGGATTCTACTGACTAATTAAATGGATACAAATTTAAAAAATGCTTAAAAGTATTAAAAGACTAAATATTTCAAATGTTAAAAAAAAAATATTTCACTTTGGTGTAGCCTACTATAACATGATAATTGTAGAACCAGCTTTGTAGAGATACATATTTATAAGATACTAGGCATACTACCTAGCTTCGCTTAGGTTTTCAAAAACATTTGAGAATTTGAATGCTTAATTAATTAGTGATTGGCTGATCTGTGGAGTGCTTAAGTTTAAACAGTAATGCTAATTTTAGAGAAATTAATGGAATGTTCGCAATTTATTTCTCGAAAGTTAATTACAACTATAGAGGTTCAGTGAATAGTTTAACTCATAATTTATATTACATTGACTTTTAAAATTAATTTCTACAAATTAATTTGGATACATACATTAATTTACAACTTAATTCTCTATTTAAACAAATGCTAAACTTTGTCATTTTCTGTTGTTGTTTTTAGAAATAGTATAAAATTATTTGCAAAATAATTACTTTAGAAAGTTACCTCCCTTGTACAGAAACCGAATGACGTAGTCTTTCTGTTTACTTTTTTCACAAACAGTTGCTTATATAAGAAAATATGGCATCTGGACAAATGTAAGACCATAATGGTTTTTTCCGACGGGAATAAAGTTTTTTTGTTACCCTCCTAGGGTCGGGCTACGACCTCACAAAATATCAGGGGGATCGTTGGGCAATTTTTTTATATATAGCTCATATACGGAGAATTTTACTGGCAGTCATTTTTTAGTCCTCATCGAGGGCTTAGAGTCTGACCGACAGCTTTTCCCTACAACCTAGTCATTTATAGAGGTGCATGCAAATATTAGCCAGATATACAAAGATATATCTAAAATCTTTGTTGAAGTTACCCTCCTTTTTACATAAATTACAATTGTGAGCTGACCCGCGCTGTAAGCATACTTTATTTAGTTTTTTTTTTTTTAACTTTCAGTAATTCATAATTTGTGAATTCGATACTACCCTCTCTTTCCCCCCTCCTCCCTTCCCCCCCCCCCCCCCCCCCCCCCCCCCCAGTGAAAGCAGCCGTCTGTGACGACAGTTTACAGACGACAATGAAAATATCAAGCAGAACTTCTTACCTCTCATTCATTTCCTGACAAAAGGCCCTGACTAATGGGCTACAGACATATCTTCTGATACATAAGTTTCCCTTTCAAACCTGACGGTCTATGGAGCAAGTGAAGTAGAGTTCACTTGTTTCTGTGACCTCGGCATATGAAGAGATAGTGTGGTCAGCACTATGCCCAGCCGCCTTTACTTTCCTAACGTGAGTTAGTTACCCATCAGAGTTGGGTGGACTCAGGGACGGTCTACTGACTTGAATCCGGATTCGAGCTCGAGACTTACGGTTTAGCAGTCCAGCTCTCTACTATTAGACCACTCTGCCCCTAATAGCCGTCATATTGTAAACATTCAGGGTGAACCACAGCTCACCAGACTGGTGAGATGGGGTGGTAGCGATATGCCTAAAGAGCGGGGTAGGAACGACTAAGCCCTTACTTGGTGGTGTCTGTATGATCCCATTGAAGGGAATTACATATATAGATTATTTAGGGTAATACGACCGGTCAGTTTTGACCTCTTTTCTGATCTTTCCCATATACCGAGAGCCATATATACAGAGCCAAAGTACCCTAAAAATAGTTTTGAAAATAGTCATAGTTTTTCACAAAATTCACAATGTTTGTACAGGGAAAATTCAGGCCGGTCACTTCTAAAGCCCTTCCTGAGTTTTCCCAAATATATCATAGTTTTTTTTTGCCAACCTCGAGGGTAGGTTTACAACCTCAGGAGTTCTGAAGGATTTCCTACTTGGGAAATATTTTTTCGTTATATAGCTCATATAAGGTGCTGGTCAGTCGAGGTCAATTTTGACCCCATCTTCATGGACTTGGTGGCCAACCAGCACTGGCCCACATGTTCTATTGCCCCAAGGCAGGAGCCTGCCAAAATTGAAGTGCTTGCGGCACCAGGAGGTGCCGATCCGGCATCCGACCACTTTGCTTTATATATATAGACTAGCTGCATCCCGTGCTCCGCCACGCTAAATCTTTTTTAAATGTACCAACTGGGGAACAGAACAAAACTAAACACAACACTCATAACATAAACACAATTTAAATGCAATCATAAAGGCATATTGCTCACAGTCTAACCCCCCCCCCCCCCTCCCCTCAAACTTAGGATGTGCACCCCCTCCCCTCAAAATTTCAATTTCCACCACACCCCCTTAAACTTTCGATTTGTACCACTTTTGATTTGAAATTCCCCCCGCTCAAACTTTCGATTTGCACACCCCCCCCCTCGCACTAAAATTTTTGATTTCCACCCCCGCAAATTTTTTTCCAACCCACTTTGGCGCCCCCTAAGGTCGGCACATGGGGACATATCCCCCCCCCCCCCACGACTCTCCTATAAAACCCCCAGCTTGTCCGCATATAAAATAATAATAAATAATATACAATAAATAATAGGCAATATTTAAAATATCCGTGTTTTACCTACCATATATCACTTTATCAATTCACGCATTTTTTCCCAGTACTTTAAATTTTAAAAATTTACAATAGAGTTTCATAACTAAAACCATTGCGCCTGATGACGCGTCTATAATAGTGCGGAATAGTTGAATAAAAATTAGAAGTAGTAAACAGTACATTCAGTGAATAAAATAAATAAAAGATTGCCTTTTATCAATCCATGCTAATTATAATTTTCTAACAATAATTTCCTCTTCTACATCCGCACAATTTGCATTCACATTTTGCTAATTATATTATAGCAACGCTAATTCCTTCTAGGACGCCCGTAGATTTGCATTCACATTTTTTTTTTATTAGTGTGAGTTTAATTTATTTTTAAATTACCTCCATTGTCAAAATTAGAAAAAAGAGTTAAATTAATTTGATTTTTCTACCCTACTGTTATTATGTTATTAAAATGTATCCACTTTTTCTGGGAATCTAAACGAAAATGTATTTGACATTAATCTTTTTAATACATTTTAGCAGTGTGAGTGTATTTAATATTTTCTTGACATTATGCAAAAGAGTAAAAACAGTAGCATTTATAAAATAACCTTATGTCGTTATATAAACAAACTCTACTCTACTACTTATAATGAGACGCTGCGGTGCACTGAAAAGCACTTCATGGTGCGATGTTTACTTTTATGGTTTCAAAAGCTATAGCGAAGACGGAAGGAAGGATATATACACTGACTTAGGCATTCTAATAAAATGTTCTTATTTTTTAAATGTACTACTTGTTCTAGAGACTAATATTATTATTTCACAAAAAAAAATTTCTGTATGTGTCTCTTATGTGACACAAAGAGTGTTACCTGTCATTTTTGTCAGTTTGTGAACCCCTGTACTGTTCTGATTAAACATGTGTTTCACATCTACATGCTATAGGCTTATTTAAACTTAAAGAACCATCATTTTCCTACTTTCCTTATATAACTTTTTTTTGTTGTTTTACCAGTGATTGTTTGGCTATTTTTAAATGTACAAAATGTGTTTTTTTTACTTCCATTTTAATTTTTGTCAAAAAGTGAGAAAAGCCTATTTCAGAGCAATTAATTTAAATCATGTACTTGTTTTTGAAGTTTTAAAAAAAAAATGGGTTTCTGCTCTGTGTTTGCTTTGAGTTCAAAAGATTGAGTTTGTATCATATATGTTCACAGATATAACTGGTCAAACGTGGCACTTTTAAGGTTGGCAAAAAGTTTAAAACCAAAATTTTAAAACACCATTTACTACTTTTGTACTACTTGAGATATATGAGGGAAATTGGTATCCATGTGATCTTAGAATTGTGAGTTCTTAACATAGCAACTTTAAAAAAGCTGTGAGTTGTTGTAAAAAAGCATTTTGACACACCTAATATCAGTATATTATTTTAACATATGCTCTTGTCTGTCTGACTGCCTGTCTGTCAATCAATCTATCTTCGTCTTCTTCTACGTTCTTAATTTTTATGTTTGAAAGTATTTCCTCCAACACAATTAAGCATTCTATCTGTTTGTCTGAACTGTCTGTCTGTATATATATATATATATTTATATATATATATATACGAGCTGACCCGTGTCATAGTATACGCCGCCATCTAGTTGTTTTACTTTCTGCTTATCAGCAATTCATAATTTGTGAATTCAACACTACCTCCTCCCGCCCTCCTTTCCCCCTCCCCCCTTCCCCCTCCCACCTCCCGCCCAGTGAAAGCAACCGTTTACAGACAAAGAAAAGATCAATCAGAAATTGTTACCTACCTTTCGTTTCAAATAGTTTAATACCAAATTATCTGCCCCTAATAGCCATCACTAACCCGGCTCTACGATTGTAAACATTCGGGGTGAACCACAGCTAACCTGACAGGTGGGGATGAGGGTGGTGGTTAAGCTGTGTGGTGTTTTCTATGGTCTCCATGAAGAGAATTATATATATATATATATATATATATATATATATATATATATATATATATATATATATATATATATATATATATATATATATATAGTCTAGCGTAAAATCTGTTGAACTCTCAGAAGAATCGTGTATAGACCAATTGTGTATTTTTAGACACGTAACCTTATTTTCTAAAACCGAGTTATTTAAATATAAGAAAAGCATTTTCTATATTTGTTGGATCATAGTTGTAGGGAGCAGTTTGCCTACACATCCACCTGGAATGCCTGATGGCGTATGAAAGCCTTGACTGTATGTTAATTTCCCTTGCTATTACTGAGGTAGAGGACACCTCAGTGACCACCCAGGTGTAGGGCGTTGCAAGGAGCACTTGGGAGCCACCAGTTACACCACCAGTACCACAGGGGCGCCATGTATGGTCTCTGGGTCGGTTTAGTCATCAAATGTGTCATGTCCCTATTCTAGGGTTCTCTTTAAAACCAATGTAAGCATCATAGTGCTCACGGGGCACTGGAGTATGCATCTGATTCAATTTCATCTACAATTATAGTAGCCCATCAATTCCATAGTATATATCACACTCTTTAAAAGTGTGAGATAGAGCTTACACGGAAGCATGGGTGGTAAAATTGTACCCTGGCAGACACACACAGACAAACTTTCATTTTTATTTATATAGATGAAAATATGTTTGTCTTTTAAGCATTACTATACCTTTAATAGAACAACCTAGAAACATGGGGAGGTTGATGAGCATAGGCCTCCTAGTAAGCTTTATGCAAAATTTCTTTTTTAAATTTAGCAATTGGGTGCGGTTTGGTGCCCAGAGTTCCCCAGCAGCCTTCTTAGCAGATGGAATCCATTTGTTGGGTGTCCTGCACAGATAGAAAGGGGGTACTACTTGATTCAACTGTCAAACAACACCCTGTGTTGTGTTGTAGTGAGCAAAACAGGCTTCCCCCCTGAGCACTCTAGCACCTACCTCTTCATTTAAAGAGTGCCATATACCAGAGATATGTTGGACTACTAAATCTAATCGGCACGTCTACTTGTGACCTGGCGGTCAAATTGAATTGACTATCTGAAGCAGCCTCTAATTAGGACTTAAAATTAATAGAAATAACACAGAAGTCATCAGATTCAACAACAACCAGATCTGCCCATACAGCTAAAAGGAGAAGACATACGAGAGATAAACAAATTTACATACCTGTGAAGTGTGATCAACTAGTATTGGGGGAGGGGGGGGTGGGGGTTAGATAAGGACATAAAAAGCCTTATCAACAAGGCCAGATGTGCCTTTAACTTAGTGTGCCCAATAATTAATTGCACAGCATTGTCATTCCAGAGGGAATCGTTAGACTGGAATATCCAAGGGAAAAGTATTTTGGCCAAAGCAATACTGGAGAAGGACAGTGAAAAGTGAAAGAAGGGCCTTAGGGCTTATGTGGGCTCAACTAAAGAGAGCTGCCCAAAACCAAGTCCAGTTGAGAGGTGTGGCTACAGCCCTTTGCTCCTTTGGTGCTTCAAAATAATAACTATAATAAATCCAACCAGACTCATCCACTGGGTGCCCTAGTGGTTGAGTATGATTGGGTGCACAGTTTTCTAGCAGTTACCTGAGCCTGTTGATTGAGCATCCTTTACAGGAGGTCAAGGATACTACCTGATTCAACTGTCAACAAGGGTTTCCTCTAGTGGTCGGGTGACCAGGAGTATCCTAGGCTTCCCAGTGAACATTACGGCATTCACATTTGTTTTAAAGAGCACCCTAAACTTGGACATATGGGGGGTCACTACATTTGGTGAGTAAACCAGTGGTTGCTGAGGTGTGTCTACTTCACTGTTACATTTACATAGGGTGACTAACATACTTTCAAGGCTTTCATACTGCACTTCCAGAGGCGTCTGGGTGGTAGTGTGGACAAACCTGTGCTATAACATTACAACTAAGATCTAAGAAATATAGTGCTAGCAATTGTTACAACAAATAACTCAGTTGTAGAGAACAAGGTAACATTTCTAAGAATAAATTTTCGTAACATGATAACCCCTTCTGACACGACCTCAGTATTTTTCCAAAAAATTATTCTATGTATGGAAAATGATTTTGTTGGTGGACTGACATGGCATACCAAATTTCATCTCCATCGATCAAGTATTATGCAACTTACGAAATGTACAAAAATGTACACCATGTCACAATAGAGTATAATGTCAGTAACATCTTATTCCTATCATGCAATTCTAGAATGCTATAAACTTAGTAATAGAATGAAGTATTTTATTTGAAGAATACACAATTTGTAAGCTATCTAAAAAATAATTTAAAACTTGTTTTTTTTGTACTCCAATTTGAATTTTGTAAATGTAAAGCAGGGGTCTCCAAACTACGGCCCGCGGGCCGTATGCGGCCCGCGAAGTCCTCTCATCCGGCCTGCGGAGATCATTTTGTCCAAGAAAAAAATCGTTTGTTGGTGATAGCTGAGGAACTTTGGCCAGAAAAACCAAAGACATGCCTGGAAGAAACTGGCCCCCGAACTGAAATT